CTATGATGTCGCCATGGTACTCTACCCAGGGTGACAGCTGTCTAAAAAAAGAAAGAAAGAAAGAAATTAAGGACCCCATTTTTACATTGAATCTTGGCGTTGGCTCAGAGATCCTCTTGAATAACTTAGCCAATGATTTCCCCCTACCTATGTACACATGAAAATAAACAATGGAATAGAACACAAAAATCTGTACAAATTTCTGAAAGCCAGAGTTCACGTCCCTTGCAGTAATTGCCATTTCCTGCCAGGTTTTTTTCCTGACCCAGTAAGACATTTGAGGCCTTTAGCTGAATCAAGCCCAATTAATTATTGAATCAAAGCCTATCCTTGATCCAGTCTACTTTCTGTTGCAACTTCTGAACCCAGGAACAACAATTTGCACAAACAAACTCAAGTCACAACACAAATCCATGGACCTTTGGAATGTAGGAGAGAACTTACCCACAATTCCTAGTTGCTGCAAGAGAATAGTGAACACATGGGCCAGGCAAGTACTTCATTTGGTCACTTGCTGCTCCTGGGGTGGGGGTAGGGTACTGGAAGCTCTACTTTGCATCCCACTTCTGATGTCATCTATTAAAAGAAAAACTTTAGACAAATTAAATTAAACAGAGTTTGACTGGGCAAAGAACAAATTGCAAATCAGGTGGCCCCAGAACCAGAGTAGGTTCAGAGTGACTCCATTTTGATTCGGTCCAGCCTGTTTGGGCCTACAGTGGGGGCTTAGTCTAAAACGATGGCCTCTCATAATTTTGTTTTAAACTCTAAAACAGTTTTCAGTGATGAAATAGTCTTCTTGTCTTGAGAATTACTTGTGTGCATTATTGTGAAAATACTAGCTATCACAGTCTTCATATTTTTGGAAACACTCCAAAATGTAAATTTGCAAATTTAACATATTAATTTAATTTTTTTTCTATCCTGTTATTTGTGGCTATCTAGTAGTTTCCACCAACATCTTTTTACCCTTTCTCCCACAGTTATAGAAACCCTGGATTTTTACTAGGCACATGGCCACCCAGATTAAAGACTACCATCCTGGGTGGTGCCTATGGCTCACTGTGTAGGGCGTGGGCCCCATATACCGAGGGTGGCAGGTTTGAATCCAGCTCTGACCAAACTGCAACAACAACAAAAAATAGCTGGGTGTTGTGGTGGGCGCCTATAGTCCCAGCTACTCAGGAGGCTGAGGCAAGACAACTACCTAAGCCCAAGGGCTGGAGGTTGCTGTGAGCTGTGATGCCATAGCACTCTACTGAGGACTATAAAGTAAGACTCTGTCTCTAAAAAAAAAAAAAAAAGAAAAAGAAAAAAGACTATCTTTCTAGCCTCCTTTGCATCTAGGTATGTCCGTACGTGTGATTACATTCTGGATACGTTAGTGGTCTGTTTTGTGTTACTATAACTGACTACATCTTTTTTTTTTCTTTAGAGACAGTCTCACTTTATCACCCTAGGTAGAGTGCCATGGTGTCACAGCTCACAGCAACCTTCAACTCCTGGGCTCAGGTGATTCTCTTGCCCCAGCCTCCCAAGTAGCTGGGACTACAGGCGACTGCCACAATACTTGGCTATTTTTTTGTTGCAGTTTGGTGAGGGCCAGGTTTGAACCTCAGTATATGGGGCTAGCACCCTACCCACTGAGCCACAGGCACCACCCACCAGACTCTTTTTGACAATAGAATTAGTGCATTCCTGTGAGAGTGAGAACTACTACTATTGCCAGAAGGGCACCAATCCATTCATGCTGGATCCATCCCAAAGACACAAATGCCTCCCACTAGGCCCCCATCTCCCAACAGTGCCATGATGGAGATCAAATTTCAACATGGGTGGCTAAGGCGCCAGCCACATACACCTGAGCTGGTGGGTTTGAATCCAGCCTGGGCCCCACAAACAATGACCGCTGCAACCAAAAAATAGCCAGGAGTTGTCGCAGGTCCCTGTGGTTCCAGCTACTAGGGAGGTGGAGGCAGGAGAATCACTTGAGCCCAGGAGTTGGAGGTTGCTGTGAGCTCTGATGCCATAGCACTCTACCTAGGGTGTCAGCTTGAGGCTCTGTCTTGAAAAAAAAAATTTGGGGGGGGGGACAAACCATATCCACTGGATAATGGGAGGTAGCCAGAGGTGTACACAACTTCTAGGAAATGTTCTTACAATGTGGGTCCCTGCCCTCCCTCTTTCTTCCTTCCTGCAGACTGGAATGTAGTTGGAGCTCTAGAAATCATCTTAGACAATGAGATGAAGTTGAGCATAGAATGCTCACATGGCAAAGCAAAAAGATGAGAGACTGCATTCCTAACACCATGGAGTAGCAATCAACTGTGGGTTTACTAACCTCCATACTTCTTGTACATCAGGGCAAGTAAATGACATATTTTTGTTTTTGTTTTTGTTGTTTGAAACACATTTTCACCGGATGACCCTGGCTATCATGCTATAACATCATCATAGCTCACAGCAATCTCAGACTCCTGGGCTCAAGAGATCCTCTTGCCTCAGCCTCCCCAGCTGAGTCTACAGATGCTTGCCACAACACCTGGCTAATTATTCTATTTTTAGTAGAGATCTGCTCAGGCTGGTCTCGAACTCATGAGCTCGCTCAATCCACCCACCTCAGCCTCCAGAGTGCTAGGATTACAGGTGTGAGTTACCATGCCAGGCTCTACATGCCATAATCTTGACATGGAGTCCTCAGGTACAAAGCAGACTTATTGCCATCCACCTACTCTTAGCACTTACATAAGTCCAAATAACACTAGGCAATCAATAAGACTCAGAGATTTTGCTTTTTCTCTTTTCCTCTCATCTACTCCACTCCCATTTCCCCCTTCTCCTCTTTTGTTTGAGAGCCTTTAGTAGCCCAGGCCAGAGCACAGTGGGATCATCATAGCTCACTGCAATCTCAGGTTCCCAGGCTCAAGTGATCCTTCTACCTTAGACTCTCAGGTAGCCACTTCACCAACATGTCCACCTAATATTTTCTATATTTTATACAGATGGACTCTTACTATGTTGCCCAAACCCATCTTAAACTTCAGACCTCAAGTGATTCCCCTCCTTTAACCTCCCAAAGTGCTAGGATTATATGCATGAACCTCTGCGCCCAGCCCGACTTTGCTTTTTAATGTGAGTTAGAGATAGTTTGTGGTCTTTTGGTTTAAAAAGATTTACCCCATTTCTCTTATTCCAACCTCATTTCTGAGAACCTATCTAGATCTGTGGTGGACTGGGTTTCCTGTGTGCAAGAAAAACTTTGACATTGGGCTCAGTGCCTGTAGCTCAGTAGTGAGGGTGCCAGCCACATACACTGGAGCTGGTGGGTTTGAATCCAGCCTGGACCTGACAAACAATAATGACAACTACAACCAAAAAATAGCTGGGCGTTATGACAGGTGCCTGTAGTCCCAGCTACTTGGGAAGCTGAGGCAAGAGAATTGCTTAAGCCCAAGAGTTTGAAGTTGCTGTGAGCTGTGACTCAACAGCATTCTACAGAGGGCAACAACGTGAGACTGTCTCAAAAAACAAAACAAAACAAACCTTTGACATTGTATACAGGCAGTTCCTGAGTTACAAACATCTGACAATATACAATTCGTACTTATGAGCAGAGGTAATTACAGGTAATAGGTAAATGTACCTGTTCCAAATTACATACAAATTCAACTTAAGAACAAACCTAGGGAGCCCATCTCCTTCCTGAGGACTGCCCACACTCACTTTTTAGTTTTTTTGTTTTTTTTTTAAATCTATTAGCCATTTAATTAGGTTCTTTCTAAGAAATTAAAAACACCATTTTAGGGTGGTGCCTGTGGCTCAAAGGAGGCACCAGCCCCATATGCTGGAGGTTGTGGGTTCAAACCCAGCCCTGGCCAAAAACAAAAAAGAAAACATCATTTTATGAGGGTAGGCTCCATTTGGCAGAGCAAACATGCATCGCAAGTAGCCCTGGAGCTGAGGAATAGCCTTGATTTTCGGTAAAATTTGTGAGTCCACAGCTTTTTGATCAACCTTGCCCTGTTCTGTTACCTCCTATTTCTCTTTTTTCTGTGGTGAAGATCTCACCTTCTTGGTGTCTGGGCTTGCGGAGCTGCTGCTTCTTGAAATAAGCATCAGTAAGATGCTTTCGGATTTTTTTTTTTTTTTTT